ATAGATATATATACATGTGGATAAGTATCTATGAAGCTTGGAGCAGCAGTATTTGTCCATATTTCACCTCAAGTAGCAACAAGATGCAACGCGCGTCCCTGTGGGGACAGACATTCACGTTTCAAAGATAAATTCTGCAGATCGCCGAAAACGCACGCGACTTATACATTGCACAGGTAACCAAGAAGGGGCGATTATGGCCGACCCGCGAAAAGCTGAATGGTCGATCCCGATAAATCGTGCGTATAGTGTCGGAAATAAATGTAACGAAAGCAGAACCAATCAGTTTGACGCATTCTGTCATTCGAGGCAGTGAGCATGCTGATGGCAGCCACGTCTAGATTGTCGAAAGGTGATTATGGGAGCTGTAATCTGAATAATGAAGTAATTTTCTATAGTACAGTAAATAGTTCGCTACATTCTCCGCTAACCTTTACATCGAAGCGGCTAATTACTCAGCAAAAAAGCGCTGCATACTCGCGTTACCATTACAGCAATGCAGCTAATTGCAATTAACAAAGAATTGGACACGATCATTTACGAACTTTTTCTGCAATGTGAATTTTTGCTAGCATATACCCACCAGCTGGTTAATCAAGTTAATAAACAGTGACCATGCATAGTTTGAACGTTACCCAATTAGTTACTTATAGCACCAACACAAACAGGTTAACGGAACATTTACGGTGAGTAATGTTACTTGGTACATGGCTGAGAAATGCAGCATCAGACATGTACTGGTAAGGGGAAATCTTAATAAAGCCGTTATATATGCATGAAGGTAAAATCAATCCAGGATCAAACAGGGTTGGTTTGTTTAGCATGCTCAACTGTAAAATTTCAAATAGAAGTAGATAATGAAACTGTCTATCATTAGGTTATGAAACGAGAATTGAATATCACACTTTAAAGTATTTTTTCGTGATTTATGTAGGATCATAAACAACACATATTGTTGCACAGTTAAACATTTAAGAATATAAAATAGGTAAAATTACAATGTTATGCAATGCAAGTAAAGCTAACTCTGGTCACATACCTTTATAAGTCCATTTATATGTATCTTGGCACCCATTTCTGCAGTGAAGACAATTCCACAGAAAATATCTATGCAGAGTGTGATGTATTTCAGCTCTTTGCATGCCTAAAACATTTTAAGTATGTATGCCACAAACTTCCTGCATTAAAAAACATAACATGATAATTAACATTGTTACCAAATATATAAGGTTCAATTTGTCAACTATAGCTCACATTGTCGAAATGAATTATAGCAAGAGTTAATAATACATATATTATAATATTAGCTCTTGATTACATAGTACCTGATATTGCTTATGAATTCTTAAAAATTGATCTCCCCAAAATATGATCAGATCTAGGTTTTTTTTATTCCAAAATACATCAACTGAAAAACACAGCTACAGTTGGTAACAGACCAACATAATATCTCAATTACCAACATCATTCAACAGACCAGAAATGCTTCTAGCAACTGACATTTTAAACTATTCCTTTCGATGATATCGTGGAGTGCGTTGTAAGATGACCTACGAAATAATGCCCGAGCTTGTGGTGAAATTAAGGAGAAACCACTGTATATATATATATGTGCGTGCGCGTGCGCGTGTGTGTGACTACACTGCAGGGAAAAAATTTAAATTTATTTTTCGGGGGCTACTTTTCAGGCTCGCGTGCATGAAAACAGCACTCTAAAATTTGGTTTGCATTGAACTCTATGCAAATTTACCGGGGCTCTTTTGGGCATTTCCGGGGCTCTTTTTGGCATTTCGGGGGCTAAATCGCCCCGAGCTATAGTGTATTTTTTTCACTGCTACACTGAACCTGAAATGTTTTTGGTGTGTTCATGCTGACAGATATGAGGCTGAGCAGTGCGCAGGCCCTCAGCAGATGCTGCACCCATCCCTTGTTCACCCACTCTGTAACAGTAAACAAACAGTCCATCTGTGAGCGCTGGTGACAACAAAAGATGGTAACCTCGTAACCTCATAAATATTAGTCTTCAAAAGTCCAATGACTATATCGAAGATGGAATGACGATATAATGATGAAATGAAAATGAGAAGAAAGGTGATGGGGAAGAGGAAGAGAAGGAGGCAGAGGAAAATCAAGGATGTGGATGAGAATAAATGAGAAGGGATTGAAGAGGCATATGACATCATGGTGGCATAAGAAGGCAGGGGAAAAACAGAGAAAACTATTAAGGGA